AGGAAGCATATGCATACGGGGGCAGAATCCAGCCCTTAGCAAATATGAAATGATCAGGATAATAAAATAAATTACTTCTGTGGTGTCAATTCTTGAATCCTCGACAAAGTTCCCAAGCTGAATATGAAAGCTGTGGTTTGAAGAATGCAAGATTATGCCCATACCCAGTTAAAGCTGAATTATTTGGATCATTTTTTTTCCAGGAGATGCTGTCAGGAACAGCTTGATTGCTATCTATACTCTCCCAGCTCTCCTCTGCAGCAACATTAGCAGTTGTCACATGGGGGATTATGAAGTCTCAAAAAAACCTCTCTTTATAAAACTAACAATTTTAATTACTGGGATTGCCAAAGTTGGTTTCATACCAATGAGCTTGATATTGTTGTCTTCATCCAGCAACAGATTTTCTATCTTCAAGTCTCTGAAAGAAAGAAAGAAAGAAAATATTTTGAGTGAGTCTCCAAAATAATGAAGCAGCTTCCCCTCGCTCTCATCAGCGTATTTACAAGGCTCATGTATAATAACTTGCATAATGAAAGCAGCACACACAGTTCCACATTCAAAGCAGAAAGCCCCGTGCACCCTCTCCAGAATTAACAGAGCTTTTCACACGCTGCTTCACACCTATTCTTCAGGCACAAAACGACTTCAGAAACATTTGTCAGTAATTAATCAGGCTCTTCACACGCTGAGAAGTCTGCAGAAACCTCACAAACTGGACACATTTCAAATACATGTTTTTTTTTTGAAGGGGAGGTCACTTTCTCCTTGATCTTGACAACCAAAGGCCACTGCTGAGGAAAAAACCTTCTTCTCCAGGGAAGGGAAGGGAAGGGAAGGGTCAAATGTCCGTCCCTTGCTGTTGCCTACACGGGAGAGAAGAATCAACCTGCTCTCAGGGCGAAGCATCCAAACTCTTCACAGGGGTGGTCAGCACTGGCACTGCTAAAAACAGAGTCTACATCATCTCCTTCACAAGAGTTTTTCCTCCCCCTTCCAGACATGAAATATTTCTGGGATAACCACAGCAGCGATGCTTCTCCTGGAAAAGAAACCTGGATAATAAAGCCATCAGCTGTAATGATGGGAAGTCAGTGACATCCACGGTGTTTTGCCTCTGTAAGGCAAAGGGAGCGATGAAGGATGCCCTGTATTGCACATGAAGACACAAGGCTTAATAAAATAAGACAAGCAAACCAGCCAAGCCCATCTAAGTACTTCCACAAGGAGGGATCTGTGAAGGAAAGAAAAATAGCCATGACCTACTCCAAGCTGCTTTCCTGAACTGCTCCTCTCCATTTCCTTTCATGCTCATCCTGTGCTTGAAACACAACTGAGGCAGAAGCACGTGGAGCTTTAGGTCACACAACTGCAATGTCTCAAAGCAAGAGGGGAGACCATTTGGAAGCTCTTGGGTATATTAAACATCAGCCAAGAAGACTTTAAAGGCAAGGGAATGGAAAGGGGAAAGCTGGAAGCCGAGGAGGAAAAACAAGCAGACAATCAGAGTAACAACTGAGAGACAGAAGGGCTAGATAGGAACACAAGATATTTAAGAGAAGGCATTCAAGGTTAAAAAAATTATAAAATTAAAAAAAAAAAAGGTAAATATTACAGGGCTATTTTAAAGCTATCAGAGGGAAAAACAGCAATGTAAATATCAGCCCAGTATAGAGTGCAGCCAGCCCTGGTTAAAGATGTTTACCCATCTGTCTATTCTCAGCAGATTTGCCAGTGAGTGGTAACTGATCTAATAGTCCATATGCCCCACATTTTTTGTCGATCCCAATAGAAAAGCACTGGTTTTTGGAGTGACACCGGGAGCCAGGACAAGAGGCTTTTACTCCTTGATACAACCTAAAGAGAAAATTTAATTATCTTTTACAAAGAGAGCCTTATCTGAGTTGCTCACAAGACTTGTGCTCCAGACCCTTCATTGGCTGTCTTAGTTTGCTTTTAATGTTTTAAACCCTTTGTAATACAGGGCCTGAAATTCAGGGCTCCACTTTTGGGACTTTGTCCATTGCAGTGAGATCATGTTAACATCCAAACAAAGCAGCAGCTCTGGACACTTTCAAGTTCCCTCCTTGAAGTAAATCTGATCTTGTTCCTTGCTGTCGCAGCTCCTCAAAAAAAAAAAAACAAAAAAAAAAACCAAAAAAAACAAACAAAAAAACCCCACAACAGGACTAAAGGATTATTTATTTGTTTTCCCCCTTAAGCAAACTTTCAGCATTAATTGCTGAAGAACTTAAAAATACCCTCAGTGATTAAACAGGAAAGGAACAAAAAAAATGCTACCTTTTCCTGAGGGGTTGTTTCCATGATGCTGAGAGTGTCTAACTATGGCACAAGCTAGTGAAATCTAGGAATAATGAAGACACTCAAGGCATTCCCACGGCGTGGAGAATCAGCAGATATTTAGGCCTTTGCAGCTTTGTGAAGCTGGCAGCAGAGAGGCAGCACTCCCTGGGTCTGAAAATACACCATCTTTAAGGGATAAGTTCATCTGGGACTTTGTTGATGGGGCTGATCCATATCCCTGGCTTCGCTTAGAGCTTCTCAGACCACTTTGGAAACCTCAAATTCATCCAGTGCCTCCAGTGAGGGACACAAGTGCACTCCCAAAAGCAGTTTATATTCCGTGCCGTGGCAGGCAGCAGGCTGCAAATGGAAGTTCTACATTTCACACTTTATTTCTTGTCTGGGGGAGGAAGGATGAGAAGGGAGGCTTTACCAGCAAGCAGCTGCAAAGCAGAAGTTGTTGGCTGCTGTCTCCTGCATCTTATTTTTAATCACAACAGCACTACCAAAAAAAAAAAAAAATCACTCCTTAACTACCAACCCACAAGCCCATTTCGTAGCCCTGTGCAGGAGCCAGAGGTGAGATTTGGGTTCATCATCACATTTATATGTCAATATACATTTCAAAGGGTTTGTTATCAAAATATCACTTACTGAACCCGATCCTTCTGCCAGTAACATCCCTGAATTCCATGTGTCTGCCTCTGTAAAACAGGGATTCAGTCTGTTGTCTTCACTAGAATGATGTGTGGTTTGTTTACACCAGAGCACTCCAAGAGAATGCCCAAAGGTAATTTTGAAATCTGACATAAAATAGAAAGAGAAACCAGCTCTGCACTTCAAAAGGGGAGTTTGTTCTGTGGTACAGGATCTGTCATAAATATTGCAGCAGCATCTGGCACTTCAAATTAACAGGATGGAAGTTATCAAAGCCAACATGTCAAAGGAGCAGGTACCAGAGCAGGAATCCTGTGCCACCCTGAGCATCTGGATCGTATGGCATCACCTTACTCTGCTCAGAACCTCAGAGCCTTTTTTTTGTGTCTTCCAAACTCCTGACCTGCTTTTAATCACCAAACGGCAGTGGAAGGCACAAATATGCTGCCAGGAGGACGGAAAAAAAGGGGGAAACACAGAAAGCTATCTTTGCCACCAATACATTATTAAATTCCTGCCTTTGACATCCTGACAGTAATTGCACTGAATGGGACTGGGTTTTGTTAAAAATGACTTTAAAAGGGGTTGTTGAGAATTTCCTGTGGGATGCAGTGGCAAGCACCAAAGGCTTTCACTCCGTTTTCTCTGCTGTCCTTGTGCTCCCCGAGGGCTTATTGTTCATCCTGCTTTCTGACAGCGTGAAGGGCTGTGTAAACACCCTCTGCCAAGAGAAAGCTCCACCAGATACTGCCATTTGGGTTTGTTTTCCTCTGTCAAGAGGCGAAGATAAATATTCCTACCTGATTCACAGCTGAGCTTTGTTGCAAGTATATTTTTAGCAACCGGCCAAGCCCTCCTGATAGGGGGAACGAAACGCAAATGATTACATGAAATTATATATAGACTTGTGGCATTTTGCTTTCAGCAAAGCAGCCCAAGGAGCTCTCAGCCCCGGACAAGCCCTCACCAAAGATGCAGCTTCTGCACTCGGGAACTTCTTCATCCATCTTAGCACATGAAATAGTTGCAATTTCAAACACATCTATACGGCCAAACATGAGTCTGGAGGTACTTTTACATCTCTAAGTAAAATGAGGTTTCCTAAGGTTTTTTAATTTTAGGCTTTTCACACATCAGTGCCTCTTAAGCATTTCCACTGAATTCTGGATCCCTGGATTTGTCCAAAAACCAGAGATCAGAGTGCTTTTCTGCCACTCTAAGACTGCAAGCCATGAAGATTTCTGAGTAATATTCATGGAATAATGTAAGCAAATTATATGCAACTTATTTCATCTGAGGTTTTTTTTTTTTTTTTTTCCATCCTAAGTTATAGAACAGGGTAAGTCATCTCTATTATTCCCTGAATCATGCAGACAAACCCACCGACCTTTTTTTTGCAATAAAACAGCCAGGGAACGCTTTTCAGTGTGAAAATGTGAATGATGAAATCATTTGGAGAGACAAACACCAGCCCCGAGTTCTGGCCCAGGTTTGCTCCCCACGCAGCGAATGCAAACACCCACAGATCACCCTGCACATGAAAGTGCTGGTATTTTTACCTGCTTTAAAAATAACAACAACAACAACAACCACCACCCTGCCATTTCAACCAGGGACAGGATGAATCACTATATTTTTTCCCCCCCACTCTCCAGTAGCTGATTGAGTGGTCTGTTTTTAGAGCGGCCACAGTCGGAAGCCTGAGGTGCTGAAGGACAACTCCTGGGATAATTATTATTCTTTCTCCCTCTCTTGCTCGCAGAGAGCCAGGAGGATGAATCTGGATCACGCCACCAGAGCTTTTCCTGCCTCCCCACACGGCTCTACACGCTTGGGTTTGCAGAACAGGTCAAGACATCGAACGGGTTAAGCCAGAGAAAATCTTTGCAGATACACTGCCTGTGATTCTGTCAAATTTCATCACTTCAGGCAGAATCAGACCCCCTCATTCACCGTGTGGAAGCCTCCCAAGAAGCAGCTCTGTGTGCTGTGAGCTGAGAACCGTCGTGGATGGAGTGGTTGCCTCTGGGGCAAGGATTAATTCGACACCATGGTAGAGCGTGGCAGCGCTCTCAGAGCTGCTTCCTCCCCCTGCTCACTCATACCCCCGACCCTCCAGGGTCTGGGAGCTGTGCTGGTGCTCAGAGACAGCAGGGAGGGAAGAGTGGAGGGCCAAACCTGCAGCATCTGCATGGGAACTCGGGCTCCTCGGGCCCCAAAGCCTCGCTGTCCTTCCCACTGCAACAGCCTGTTGAGTCCAGCCTGCGCTTACAGAACAAGCTATTTTTGCACAAAATGTGGGTTTGGAGCCTCTCTGAAAAGGAAAGGAATCAAAGCCAAGCCTGCCAACCCCCTGTAAGTGCCTTGGCCACTACAAATTTTTCAGGGAGAGGAACTGCTGCTGCTGAACTCGGTCCTGCTGTTAAGAGCTAAACATGTTCATCTGCTCCTGGCGTGTTTTCCTCTGCTCGTCTCAGAAACTTCATTTCCTTCATCTCTCTCTCTCTAAATACCAGATAGCAATTGATCCCTTAAAGCAACAAACAGGCTTCTTCCTTGTCCACGCCCCAGACTGTGGGGGTTAATAATTTAAAGAGATCAGCAGTCTTGTGGCTGATAGAGAACCTGCAGAATAGCCCTGGCGGCTGCTCAAATATTTATATTAGAGTGGTACCTGAAATTTGGCTTGAGATAAGACCACAGCACTCCTGGGCTCACAGGGGCACACAGCACCTTATCCCTGCTGGATCACAGGGAATATACACAGGGACTCGAGACACAAAAAGCAGGTTTCAGAGCACGTGGAGTTCCACCAAGCCAGCTGCACAGCTCAGCACACAGCTGGGCACAGCTGGAGGAGCTGCCTGCACAGTGATGGCACAGCCCTCCATCCTCCCCACGAGTCAGTTGGAGCCAAAGGAAAGGAAGGCCCAGATCCTCAAAAGCATTCAGATGTCTGGCTCCTGCAACCTCCTCAGGATGGGGCCTACACAACTTGCTCAGCATCAGATGGGAACTGTGTGGGAGCCCAGACTTAACACCAGCTGGCCCAAATTTAGCAAGCAGAGCCTCCTTCTTAGCACAGTGCCCTATAAATACACCTGAGAACAGGAGAGGAGACATTCTGGCTCGGACCAAAGGTTCATGCAGCCCACCATCCTCCTGTCTCCATAGCAGCCAAGAGCACTGAGTGGAGAAAGGCACCACGTGTGACACCTGCACCTGCACTCTCCCAGCCTCTTCCACTTGCTGCTTGCTCAGGAACTTCAGAGGCAGCTACTCCTGATTCATCAGCCCTCCCCAGGCTCCTCTCTGGTGAGTCCTGTTCCCCCTCCTGGAGCCCAGGTGATCTTCTGACTCCCCACACCGCTGTATTTCCACCAGGAAAACAGCAGACACAACCACCCTCTCAAAGGAACAGCAAAAATGATTCACCAGCTCACGCTGGCACAGAGCTTTGAAGAGGCAAAACAAGTGCTTTGTGTAGGGAAAGGATCATCTCCTGGACATGGAGTCAGCAGGTCTCCAGTGTGGCCCACCCGAAGCCACAAACCTGCCAAAGTGCTTTCTGCAGATGCCTTCTCACATCTAAAACACAAGCCATCTAAACAGCCCCACCAAGAGCGGCCAAAATGCTCCCAGGAACAAGTTTTCACAAGGAAGCCTCCCTGCAACACAAACAGAACGCCCAAACACCACTCCCCTGATACAAACTTCCCCCGGGGGAGGAGTTTTTGGGGTTACCTGTGGACCACCCCCGCCCTGTGGAGATGCTCCACCGCCAGGATGAGCTGCCGGATGTATTTGCGCGCCTCGTGCTCCTCCAGCCTCTTCTTCTCGTAGATCTTGTGCATCAGGTTGCCCCCAGGGCACAGCTCCATGACCAGGTAGTAGCTGTTCTCGGTCTCCAGGATATCCAGGAGCTGAGCAATGTTCGGGTGGCGGATCATCTGCTGGATCTGCCCTTCCCGCCGCAGGTTCTTGGTGACATAGGTGTCCTTCTTGGCTCTTTTCTTGTCAATGACTTTCACCGCCACCTAAGGGGGAAAAAAACGAGGGGGGGGGGTGCTGTTAGCAGTCACATGGGTGATTTATTGCTTTAACCTTGTATAAACAACCTCAAAACAACGAAATTTAAAGGGTGTCCACCTCAGCTGATGCACCGTGGTTTCAAGCACAGCTGCACAAGTCAGAGAAAGAGTTGTTCTTCCAACCCCACTGACCAGGCCTTTCCTTATTGCCCCGTGCAATGACAGTCAAAAATTACAGCCAGGAAATCAGTAACAAAGCAGAGGAGACAATCCCACTATCCACACACAAGCTGGGCATTTATTTTAGCTGTTTACTCCAGAAGGCCTCCAGAAGGCTGGTGTTTACAGGTTTTAAG